TTTTTTCCCCTTGCCTTTTCATAGATTGAACTTAAGAATAAACACAGAGTGTCAGGCGTAGTTTAGCAGCATTTCTTGTCTTAACAGATGCCAGTGCGGATTTTGCTTAGACAATGGCATCTTTGTTGTTTTAGTTTAAAAACAGCCTTGTGTTTAATCACTCAAGATATTATACTTAAGATTTATTTAAGTTAACAATGCAGGGATACGCAAAAACAAGTACAGGTATGTGCTGCACACCCATGTGAAAGAGAAGTTTGTCAGCCTAGGTTTCTAGTTTTGAACTATTTTTAAATCAGTCTCCTATGTCTTCCTTGTCGGCCACCACGTGAGTTTTGAAGCCACTCTGCCAGTAGCTGCACTGTCACCTATTTAAAATGATCCATGTTTTAAGTTTTTCCGTAAATTTTACAGGGCAAGGAATGTTGTGTTTCAACATTTTGTAGTTTCATTTTTGCAGGATGTGCACCAGAAGTAATAGTAATAATACAATAAATTATGCACGATATGTATGTATGCGTGTGCAAGCACACGCGTAAGGGATTACTGCTTCATTTAAGCAACCTGACTTCCTTCCTGGTTCTGCTTTTGGAGATAACACTGCTGGGGGGACTTTCAGATCTCTGGTTGTAGACTTCTTGATGATGCAGTAATATTTGTTGCTGTTACCATTTGAAGAAAAAAATTTGGAGAGGTCTTCAGAGATTTGCCAGGTTGTAAGATGATAAGCTCTTACGAGTTTTGATAATACTCTATGCCACAGTTGAATGGGAATTCATCACTATTTGAGCCATTTCTTTACTGCTTTTAGAAGACAGTTAATTCTTTTCATTCATCAGTTGTTGTTTTTTTTTTAATTTGGAAAGAAATTTTTTTAAAAAAAAGGTCAAATGACCAACCATACTATGTGCTTGAATCAGGAAGTTCGGTTTGTTTTTTTTTTTCCAGTCACACCATTGACTTCTCTCCAAAGTACCACCCAAGGGTTATATGAGGATCATGGGTTTTTTTTGAAAGTCGCTGTTTTTAAAAGATAAGGAGAGAGGATGGTGGTAGTAGTAGTAGTACTATTGAGATTCTGATATGTTGTGTGGCCTTCAACTGTCTTCTGACAGATGAGAAGACACTATTCATCTGGCTTCAGAGAACTGATCCAAGTCTTGACTAATTTAAATGTGCAATGGCAGCCAGCAGAAAATTGATCTCGGTATAGTTGTATCCCACCTTGGTCCATCCTGTTGATCTGCTCCATTGCCATTTCACCTTTGCTCTCTCCTTGTATCAGCTAGATGTATCAGCGTGATGATCAGCATCATTCCTGGGATGATGGTGGTAGAAGCAGTGGTTAGCAGAAGCTGTAAGGCATTCAGATCCTCCCAGGACACGTGGATTTTTCTTTTTTTTTTTTTTTTTTTAATCCACTTTAAAGTTTCCTTCTTTTCACCAGCTGAAACAGAAACCACAGTCCTGTTCAGCCTGTTGTCCAGTGATGGTTTTGTTTATTATGGTGATAGATAAGATTTTAGGCATGTATTGCCAAGTTGTATTTCTTAATTTGCTCTGTAATGTATGAGGCTGTAGAAAGCACAGTTGGTGGCGTATCAGTCAATGTCTTGATCTTCTTATAATGCCAGTCATGGGATTTTAAACGCCAAAAAATATATAAAAATAATCAAATCTAGGTTTGACTCAGTGCTGTAACAGTGGTAGTTTAAAATCCCACTCCTGACCAGGAATAATGCTGTAATGATTGCAGATTTACTTAGCTAACCCTGGTAATTCATTACGCCAAATTTTTCCCTGTTTCTCTGATAGTAAATAACATTGCTTGTTTTCTTTCCAATTATTATAGTTTGGGGAGGAGTATCCGAGAAAATCTCTAGTGACATGCTTGTAAATGGTGTGCTGTCACTATTAAGTAGTTGTCACATAAACAGGACTTTTTTTGCACAAAGATTTGATGCCACTGTTTAAAAAAAAAAAAAAAAAAAAACTTGACATTTTCTTTGCCTGCTTTTCTTGTCAGCAACAATATAAAAATATTTACTTTCTGTCATTGATTGTAACAATCTAAGAGGAACCATCACTGTGAAGTTTTTGTGAGTTCCTGTATATTGTGCTGAAAACAAACATTTTCACTTCTTAGTAGTTTTGGGGCATTCCTGTAAATTTTATTATTATCTGTCATTTGTATTCTTGTATCCTATTTTCGTGCATTCTGTGCTGCAAATTTTCCATGGTTTCCTTTTGCACCAGGATGCTTTTCAACACTTTGCCCCTGCGCATGTCACGCTTCATGCAGTTAAGGAGGACTATAAATGTCATCGTTGCCGCTGGCTTAACCAGAAAAATAGTCTGTGGGCAGACACAAGAAAGTAGCTTTAAGCATTGACCTGGGGAGGGACAGACTTGAGGAAACTTTGAGATGACCTTGAAAAAGAGAGAGATACCATTTTCATATATATATATATGGGCAGTTATACAAATTTTATATGTAAATACAATGCATATAGTGTGTGTGTATCTATTTGTCTTTAGACCTCCAACTATAATTTGTTACTAGTCTTTGACTGATGAAGTCTTAGTACAGCGACACCCAGTTACAGAACCATAAAACTGAGTAAGATGCAGACTTACATTTTAGATTCTTTTGGGTTTTAATTTTGTTTTCCTACATATTATGGTTTTTGTAGATTCAAGGTGTAAATAATTTGAAATACTGTCTTCTCAACGTGATGCAGATTGCTTTTCCACCGTTTTCTTGTGTGTAATTATCATGTGTGATATCAATTGCTACCTACACTCCCAATAAAGAATTGAAAGAATTAGAAGCTTCAAGTTTTAAAACAGAGTAGATAATACAAACATGTTCTTCATATCTCTAGGCTAAATTTGCTTAAGGGGACTTTGAAGGAATCTGGATTCCCATGTAGGGAAGTATCAGGACTAAACCTGGAAGTCACTTTCTGTTCCATTGATTCAGAGGCATTTGGTGGAAATTATTTTCTTACACATCAGTTAAAATGGAATCTGTAGTGAAAGAGTTAATCGTGTCAAAAAGGCATCTCGTAACCATTCTGTGCTTCATAGGTTCATGTTGAACAGATTTTTGTACTACATGTGACGTATCTTGCAGAAAAGCTGGACAGTATTTGCAGAATTACTAAAAAATATGTGATGTGGCACTTTGTTTTACTTTATATGTAAGGGCATAACTCTGCTTCATAGGTTTCAGAAAAAGAGAAAAACTGTGGTGGTCTTAAGGGTAGTCTAAACTATTTTTTACTATGTAATAGTTCTATACTGCCTAGGTTTGTAGTTTAGTACAGTCTTAAGGGAAGTAATGTTTTCTCCTCACTGGTAGATTGCAGAAATGTAAAGATCTCACCTCTGATTCTGGTGAACTGGCAGACAGGCAGATACCATTGACCCAGTACAACATCACCCTTTCTGCAAAGACCCATGCCTGGGTAGCATGAATTCTTCAGGTTGTGTGGCACAAGTTCAGCCTGGTGGCTAGGCAGTGGCCTCTGCACGGAGCGCTGTGCTGCTGACCACAGCGCAGGCTGAGGATCCCCGTGAAGGCTGAGGGTGGAAGCAGGCTTGGTCTCACTTTTCAGCTTCAGAGCACGTTCTTCTTCATTGTAATAGTAACCACTTTCTCCCCAGAGAAAGTAAAATTGGTTGGTATGTAACATCATGCTTGATTTTCTGGGAATGTGTGTGTAAGGAAGACGTGTTAGAAGTTTGTTTTGTGAGTGCGGGAAATGGGACTGAAGGTTTCAAAATGATGCTCATGGTAAAGGCAAAACCTTTTAGAGGCTTTCAGCTTGCAGTGTGTGCTATCTCAGAAATGCTTAAGGGTCGCTGCTTTAACCTTGCACTGCGCTGCTGTGAAACACACTTCTCTGACAAGACACCTAAAACATTGTGTAAGGGGTGTAAGGCTGCCTTTGTCCTGGGACACGAGAATTATGGCATGAGGCATGAAAGCTTTACAGCAATGATTAAAATAAAACCCAGGCTGAAAGGCTGGAAAGTTCAGCGCTGAGCAGTGCACCCTGGTGCACGCATTTTGTTTCCTGCAAGGCTGAGTAGCTGGGTGAACACAAGGTTTATGTGGCTGCGCAACTGTTCATTTCAAATTTCAGCTCCTCCTTTTAAGCAAACACAGGAGTAATATAGATAAGCTCTTCTGGTCACAGAGGATGAGCTCACTGAATTGGAGCAAAGGAAAAATCTTGTGTGATGTATCCTGTGTGAAATTTCCAACAAGCAGATCTTAACTTTAAATTGACGAATACTCAGAAATGTTCATTAATGAACTACTTCTAGTACAAAGTACAAAGACGCGAAGAAATTTAAAGGAAGGAAGGAACGACTGCCCATTAATGAATATGAGCCAAATTTTAATTAACACTGATATCGCATGTTTCTGAGGTTAAAGTTTGCAGGGCTGTAATTGTTACACTACTTGCTTTATTAAAAAAAACCAAAACACCACACCAAGAAACCAAACCAAAACACAAACATGTCTATTTATTGTACACTGCCTACCATAATGTCCTGAAGGTTGACCAAGGAAGATACATTTTTTTTTTTTCTTAAGTCCTGAATTTTTGTGATAAAATGTCTCTTAGTAATTACCTGAAGTTAGATGCTTTGGGAAATTCTATCTTCAAGAATGGAAGATCTTTACATATGTAGTCATACATTATATGTATATTTTGGAGTTTTGTTTTACTCATTAGTTTAGTTGTCAAATCAAAATGCAAATTTTAATTCAGTGGTACTTCAGTTGCTACTGATGCTACTTTTCGACACTGCACTGGGTCTTCTAGTTACCTTGCAAGCACCACTTGACGCTGTTCAGCCCTGCATGAAAAAAGTGATCATCATTGTGCAAAAAAAGTCATGTTTGTGTCCAGTGGCTAAAGTATATCCTTCTTATTTGTCTTGCAGGCACAGGAGAGAGTGGCAAAAGCACGTTTATCAAGCAGATGAGAATCATTCATGGATCAGGTTACTCTGATGAAGATAAAAGGGGCTTTACAAAACTGGTGTACCAGAATATATTTACAGCAATGCAGGCCATGATCAGAGCCATGGATACTCTCAAAATCCCATACAAGTATGAACATAACAAGGTGAGATTTTTGTTTATTTCTGCAGCTGAAGGTTTTCCTCTTTTTATTTTAGGAAATATACTGAAGGTCTCCAAAAAATCATGTCACACACATTATACTGAAAGTTCAGAAGAAGAAGGCATCTTCCAGTCTTGCCTTTAGTTCACTGCCGTTTTTACTGCTTCGACAACACAAAGGTGCCGCTTTTAACAAGAGAGCTCCTCTTAACAAGATGCCTGGGGGGGTTGGCACAGGGCAGAGGTTTAATGGCAGGCTGCTGTTTGGCTGTCACTTTAGTTACCCCTTGTCTTTTCCTCCTCTGGCCAGAGCACAGTTAAGCCATTCTTCTGATCTATAGCAGAACCTTACTGCTTAAGGTTTGCCGTGTACATGTGAGAAAAAATCAAATTATTAGAAAAATAGGTAAGGATACCTGTTTGTGCGTGAACATGTTGCGAAATAAAATTTTCGACATGAGACCTTAAAACAGTCAGATTCTTTTGAGATGGATACTGTTACTGAAATTCAAAAGGACAAAATACATTTGAAATCTTTAAAAGGTTCATCTCTGACTAGCCTGACTTCTTTCCCTTTTTCTTTATATTTAAATTTAAAAAAAATAATAATCTAAGCATTCATGAAGGCGAATGAAATGTTTAATATTTACTTAAATACCTGGTAAGACACAGGATTACCTGGCTATAACTCCCACTTCTTGTCACAGGAGCAGTACGACTTTGTTTGATAACAGTTCCTGAGAACTTGTCCTGATTTTTCACTGTTGAGCCACTATCAGCAACTTTGTCAGGCAGAGAGTTTAAGATCTCTCACAAGTGGAGGACTCACCTTTCTTTCAATCTTGTGAAAGAGTATTTAATGATGATTTAGTAATCCTGGATGAAAACAATACTTTAGTAATCCTGGATGAAAATAATACTTTCTCTGATGAATTACTCAAAAGTTCTTTTATTTTTTTTTTTTTTTAATATCAGAAACTATCAAAGAGCAGGGACATTTATGATAAAGAAGTAAGCTTCCGTTAACTGGGGAAGGCAGGATGAAATAAACTTGTGTTAAGATGAAAATCTTTTGCGTCTATGTATATGAAGTTTAATTATTAGCATTGAACTGCTGTATGTTTGAAGGCATCTAATTCAGAAGTTGGAACGATAAAGCTTATTACCAGGTTAAAGAAGCTTTGTTTCTCCATTTGCATGTAATGTTGCAATAACCAGAGTCTTGCAGGAGCCTGGGTTTGTGCAGTGGAAAGTCAGGAGGATCCTGTCTGTCAAAATCCATATTGTTAACCTTCTTTAATGGTGGGTGGGTTTTTTTGTGCACATGGAAAAGTTTTTTAAAAACTTGTCCTAGTTGGTAAAAAGAGACTGTTGAACTTCCTAGTCTGACTGTGTGCTGAAGCTGTCTAGTTTTCCCTCATCCCTCACGAATCAAAATCAAATGTGTAGTTAGTATTGAAAAGAAAACTGGTTTTGTATGTGTATTTCAGCCTTTTGGCTCCAAGTTTTTGCTGTGTGCAAAGCATACAGCATACTGACCTCAAAAGTTAGTTGATTGTAAAGCGCAATCATTTTTTTCTTCAAAATTGGTATTGATTGTCACTTTGCCTTCATATCTAAAAATCCTAATTGTAAATTAGGAAGTTTTTTCCTTGTATTATACTGTGGAGTATATGTTCTGTAGTTATTTTTTAAGTTAGAGTGCTGAATTTATATAGTTTTTTTATATAGTTGGAGTGGGTCGGTTAGGTTTGGCATAGCTGTATACACACAGCCAGAGCTGTTCACTTTCTCTATATAAAAATAACTTTCCTGAAAGTGGGAGTCTGTCTTTGTGCTCAGCTCCTTCACAAGCATTCCCATCAGTTTCTAATAGTGCTACGTGCAGAGTGAAATAGAAGTCGCCAACTGACAGGGTCTCAAGGCAATTCCTGTATTAATGCCTTCGGAAATGCAAGGGAAACCAAACTTTGGTACAGCATCGTCCCAGAGTAGAGAAGATTGCAGGCTACTACACTTTAAAGCAGTGAATACCAATCAATTGGTTAATCTGCTCTTTTTTTTTTTTAAAGGCCGTTGAAAACAAACTTATTAGCCTAGCAGTCTAGAAAACACAGGAAGGGCACTTCCTATTAATTTGAGTCTCCTATCAGGAAGTCCTATCTCTGGAGAGAATATCTCAAAGTTTGAGTAATAACATATTTTTAGCACAGTAGTTGTTTTGCACAATAGTTTAGAAAACTGCAGCTCAGGCTGGTATTGATGTGGTTGGGCCTAAAGAAAAGTGACCATTTTTCTGTCAAATTCTTCATGTTCTGTGATAGACTTTGGGGCTACGATAGAAATACTTTTCTCTTACTATACCAATTTTCTTACCATTAGCTGGGAATTATTAAAATTGGAGTTTCAAATCTCTGAATGCTGCTGGAATTTGAAGTGTTCTCATATCAAAAAATTAGTTAAGTAGGTAGTTTGGTCTTTGTGTGGTGTACAACATTGCAACAACATTTAGATTGGGTTATTTTAATATAGTCAATGTAGCAAGTGACAAGTTTGAAGTTTAGCAAGTTAGTTCTTGTGGAGTTGTGTTGGCTTCATAGTCACCAATATAACTAAAGAGGCAGAGACTGAAATGTATTGTCCTATATTATAATAAACTGTTTCGAAAGATTTATTACCAGAGTAGTGAAAGTTGATTGAGAAATGTAACTATTAGTGTTTAGAATGTAATATCTCAGAACTGATGGTAGAGCATAATAACATGAGACATTTCTTTTTCGTGTTAAACTTCAGAATATGAGCTCTAATGAGGTTTAAGATAATGGGTGAGGGTGATCTCTTCTCTTAGGAATTTGTCTGTCATAGGAAATGGTGGCTTATGGACTGGTTTTTAGTTTCCTTTTGGGTAAATGTTATTGTGCTTCCGTTACTTATTTTTTTAACTAGAAGTTGTGAAGTTTTCATATGGCTCTTGAATTTTAGAGTAAGAGGTATTTTATGAAATATGGGAACGCCTAAGTTTTTTATAGAAATGTTCATAAGCAATTCTCAAAATTGCCTGTCTTTGCAAAATTTTGTGAGTGTACAGTACTAACTCATGCAACCACAGATATTCAAATGCACATTTTAGAAAAACTAAAATACAGGTTTATGTTTTTTACGATTTGTCTTTTTAGAAAGCTGAAATGTGTATCCATGCTTCCGTGATTCCTTTCAAATACTGAAATAAAAAGACCATTCATTTAATCGTCTAAATTCTCACATTCCCAGTGTTTTTCCTAATGGCTTAGGAGGCTTTCCTTTAGATAATGTAGTGTTCATTTCTCCTTTCCTATCCTTTTCTTTTTTTTACATGTCTAATATTGCTGAAGATGAGGAGTATACATGGGTCGCTTCCCTATTCCCGTTCACCGTAACTTCAAAAAGACAAGTTGCCTCTCTGCTCTAGCAGACAGTATCAGGAAGGTGTCGCTCCATGGTGATTAACAGGCAGGAAATCTTACTTGAATCCTATGCCCGTAATTTCCTGTGAGACTTCTTAAATATAACAAGATAACTAATGTGAGTAAGGGTAACAGAACAGGCTACCAGAAAGTTTTTAAAGAGGCTGAAAACATAAAAGCAAGTTTTATTGTAGACCTAGACATTTGCTATTAAGTTTCTAAGAGTGTTTTCTGCTGAAGTTGTTGCTGTATTTATGCCTATTCCCTTTGGGGAATGTTTTGCAGTAAAAATAAGTAGATATTGGAAATGCTTTCAAAGTCCAAAATCTTACTGGCATTATCTTCAAGTCCACGTTTACCTTGTTAGCAAGTCAGATAAATCCAGTGGAGCAAACAAATAAAAACACAGACGGAAGTAGGGCAACAGGAGTAGGTACGAGTCAGATTGTATAAATTTTTATACCTGGTAAACAGTTGGGGGTGTTAAGTGTTCTAGATCTCTTTGGTGAAATTTGACGTTGAACAAACCGAGCTTGGAGGAAGGGGCCTCCTGCAGACACTTCACCTGATACGCAAAGAGTGTGAAGGACTGAAACCAGAGCACAAGCGTGCAAACACTGGGAGGGTTATTGATTGTCAGGTGATGCAGGATGTGTGGGATTTCTGGCTTTTTTGGGGGGAGGGGGCGTATGTTTTGGGGTTTTGTTGTTTTGTGTTTTTTAAAAAGCAAGAATGATGTTCTTGGGATGGTGAAATGAAATGCTTGTTGGTTTGGAACAGGGATAATCAAGTGGCTCTTCAAGCAGAAACCCAAATGGTGCCATCTGCACAAGCAGTATTCTGCAGCATCTCAAACCTGGAGCAGAGGGATTAAAGCTGGTTACAAGAAAGAGATTTATACTAATAGTGTTAGTTAGTATTTAATGTATTGTAGTGCTCAGTTAGTATTTAAGTACTCTCAGATATTCTTCTCCAAGCACTCAAAAACAAAGAAAAGTTAACCAATAAATAGGAGCCTTGCCAGAAGAGTTAAATGCTTCGAATACCGGGAAGCTCCAGATGCGTTACTTTGGCAAGAAACAGATTGCTGCAGAGCTGGCCAACATGGAAGAAAGTATAGTTAGATTTAAAATATCATGGTCTTTTAACAACATGTATTCAGATACAGGAACTGAAGATAGCTTTTTTTTTTTTTCAGGAGCCATAATGTGAAGTAAAACCCGTCTCCCTGGTAGCTGTGTTTCCTCCTGTGGGAACATTGATCAGTGAGCTGTAGGGGCTCCAGTAGAGCCATGAACAATTGCCTTGTGAGCGCTTCGTAGAGAGTCCTTCATGGGGACTTTGACAATCCTAACCAGATCTCAGCCTCTCCCCAGCTGTCTTTCTTGTCTTTTTCAGTCTCCTTCTGTCAGTCATTTACTCCTTTCATGCCCTGCCTTTCTCTCTGGCACCTCTCCAGTCTTGCGTACATTTGACCTCGGCAGGTCTTCACTTACCGGTGGCCTTAACCATTTTGTCCTACTCTCTGCTGTTTTCTTTCTCCTCCTCTGAATAAAATTCT